CACCTCCTCCTTTACGACACACACTTGAGGCTGGATCCCTGTCTTCACTCCACCTCTTAGTAAACTATCCTGGAGAGTGAGTCAGGGCATCACTAGGCCCAAGTTACCACTGAACATTCAAAAATGAACCTGGAGCTTTCCCCTCTCCTCAGACACTCTTCCCTGCAGTGGATCATTGGGTGGCCTTTCAACACAGAAGGCAGTACTCACCCTTAGCCGTTCAAAGAGCTCTGCCAATTTGAGGAAGCTCCTAGGAGGCAGTGGGCAGGAGTTAGGGCAGGGATCTTAGTGGGGCTTAAAGCCTCTCTTCCTTCAGGCCTCTCGGGGAAACCTTTCTTTCCCAAAGCCTAACAGGAGCTTCTGCACCTCCCACCTGGAGCTGATGGTAGGCTTCCACAGAGTGACCCCTCATGGGCAGACACAGTATTACAGGCATAGAAAGAGAGCAGGGTGGGTGAGAAGGAGTCCTCACATCTTTAGCTGGTTGACTTCCTGTGTTCCCAGACTGTTCAGTGCAGCCGAGATAGGGTTAAAACCCTCTGCCAGGCAAGCTGGGGAAAAGCCCTCTATCAGAGTCTGCACGTCAAGCCCCATCCCTGGTGTCTGTGGCCTCAGACAGACACCGGGCATTTCTGTTCTCTTCTCCCCCCAGGGAGTAGGACCACTGGGGAGAGGGGGTGGGAAATCCAGGGCCCCTCAGGCCCTACGTACTCTTGTGAGAGTGTATGACTCGGTCTGCCTGCAGGCAGGCATCCTGGATGCGGATGTGGTACTGCAGCAGGAAGGTCCTCTCATGCTCAAAGAAATCATCCACCTCCTAAGGGAGCCAGACAGGACCCACTTACACCAAGTCACCGGGAACATGTCAACCACAGACACCCAGGGATGGCAAATCTCCGTCTAGGCTAGGCCCCACCAGTGGCTTCCCTCCCACTGCCACCCTGGGCCTCAGTGTTTGCTGTGGACTTGAGGCCCTGAGTTGCATCCAGAGAGGGGCCCTGGGAGTCACCTGAGCCCAGACATGCCAGTGATGAGGGCTTCATCTGCAGACTTCACGATATTCCTCAGAAACCCCCCAAGAAGCTCCTTCCTGTTCTTTCCTCGGACTCTCAGCTGAGGCATGCGTGGGGAGGGTAATGATATGAGGGTGAGCATCTGCACCTCCCGCCCCAGGCACATGCCACTGGCAGAGCTGAAGAGATGGAGGCTTGGGCCCACTTAGAGCCCTGCCCTTTCACCCCCAGGGGTGACCCCAGGTCTCCCGCCTGGCTCACATCCTGGCCGTATTCCAAACAGACAGAGAAGTTGTGGTCTTGTCGCAGGGTGGGGTGGGCTGCCCAGGCACTGCAGAAAGACTTCATGCATTGCAACTGTCTTCTTAAAGATAGCCAGGTACTCCCTGCAGAGAATGGCAGGCTGCTCAAGGGCCCTCCTGGGCTCTGATCACCCTGCTCTCTTCCCCCTCAGCAGCCCTGGGGTGAGGAGCACGGTCTCTAAGCACCCATAGGGGAGAGTCAGGGGCAAAATACTGGGGTTCCCCAGCTGGGGACAGGGCTTTGTCACAGACAAGGAAGGGAAGTGGCACTCACGCTTCCAGCTCCTGCTTCATTTTGGCAAACTCCTCCCGTGTGACAGAGCTGTCCCCCTCACCCGACTTCGGCAGTTTTTCCCTTGAAGCCTCAAAGTCTGGCCTTGGAGGGGCTGGGGGTATCTGCTCAAAGGAGGGACAGAGCTGGGAGGCCTCTCATTGTCGAGATGGCCATGACCCGCACCCTGAAGCCTGGACCGACCTTCCTCCTCACCCGAGTGCCCAGTGCCCCTGCCACCCGGCCCACCAGCCCCTCCTCACAATGAGGCCGGCATACTCCTCATTCTCCACGAAGGCATCGTGCAGCCAGATGAACTCCTCGTGCTGCCGCACGACTGAGAACTCGGTCTGGGCGAAGTGAGGGAGGCAGCTCTGAAAGCCGGGAAGCCTGTGTTTAGGTGTCTCTTCTCCCCTCTCCAAAACCTCCACCCCTCAAGCTTCCTGGACACCCACTTTGGGGCCTCCCCAATCCCACATCCCAGGTGAGGCCCAAGTTGGGACTCAAGTGTACATGATTTCCCTCAGGATGGTGGACAGGAGATGGTTAGGATTTGGAGCCTTAGGCAAAGGTTTTCAGAGACTAGACAAGATGCCCACTTTCTCAGAGGGCCAGGGCGCAAGAGCTAGGTTGAGGAACAGGGCCCAAGGCTGTGTTGGCATCTGCCCCCCAGCTGAGCAGAAGCTAAGGGGAGTAGGCTCATCAGGCCCCGGAAGCCTCCACTGGCAGCCATCTGAACCACCCCCTTGCACCCCAAGCAGCCTCACCTTGGTTTGAACAGTGAATTTCACCTTGTCCCGTTCGCTGACCGCATCAGAGATCTCCACCGACAAGGAGCTGTCTCCCTGCAGATCCACTGAGATGGAGGAAGGCTGTGGGGGAAGGGGGCCCCTGACAAGACTGACCACTGCCCCTTTGCCCAACCTCGCCGCAAGCTCTGGTCCTCCTGTGGAGCCCACCTCAGTGGCATCACTTCCACCACACAACTGGGGTCACCATCTGGCTACCCCCAGAGGGATCCTGAGAAGTCACTGCTCATGGCTTTACTGTTACACTTTCTCACCCTTCCATCCTCTGAAGTAGGTAGAATTCTCCCCATTTTATAGACCTGGGCTCTGAGACCACCAGAGAGAGAAAATAACTTGTCCAAGATTATACGGCTGCAAAGTGTCCAGACCAGATCTGAACAGAGTTTCTCTGTTCCAAACCCCAGGCACTTCCTCAGCTACCTGCCCACCCCTTCCTAGGGGGTTACCTCAGGTGCACTTTCACCAGGTGTAAAGTGAGTTGGATGAGATGTTCCCACCTGTTTTGAGGGGGTCCTGAGACCATTCCATTCACTACTTTTAGTGCCAAGAGGCCCTGACTTGTAGGCCAAGCACTCGTATTTCTCTAAGTGAAAAGATCGGTGAGGCACCAAGTTACTAGTTCGTTCTTGCACTGAGCTATTTCCAATTTCAGCCATACCGGTGGAGGTGCGGTGACAGTGCACTGTGGCTTTAACTTGCATTGTGAGGAATGAGGTTGAACATTGTCTTATGTACCTATTGGCCATTTACATATCTTCTTTTTTAAAGTGCCTATTCAAGTCTTTTGCTCCTCCCTGCCGTCCTCTTTATAAAATCTGATCATCTTTCTCTTAGTAATTTGTAGAAACACTTTACATATTCTGGAGACAAGCCCTTCAGCAGTTATATGTGTTGCCAATATCTTCTACTCAGTGGGTTGCCTTTTCACTCTCTTAATGGCTTATAATTTTATAAGTTCAATATATCAGCCTTTTGTGGTTAAGGATTTTTGTGTACTCTTGAAGAACATCCCTACTCCAAGGCCATGAAGATATTCTCTTATTTTTTTCCTTGTAGAAATTAGTTTTAGGTCTGTGATCCATTTTTACATATTAATATTTAGGTCTATGATCCATTTTCAATTCATTTGTATACAGTGTAAAAGGAATGGGTTGTGATTCCTTTTTGTCATCTAAATATCCAGTGATTTTTAACACTGTTTAAAAAAGACTATCTTTTCACTATTGATTTGCTTTGGTGCACACTTTAGCAGAAGATCAGTTGATCTAAGTGTGATCAGTTCTGTATTCTCTGTTGCACTGATGTATATGGTCATACTTTTGATAATATCACACTCTCTTGATTACTGTAATTGATAAGCAAACTTGAAATCAGATAGAATCAACTTAGCTTTTTTTCAAAATCATTTTGGCTATTTTAGATCCTTTGCATTTCAACATAAATTTTAGAATCAGTGTGCTAACTTCCACCCGAAAAAAAAAACTTGTGGGTATTTGATTGAGATTACATTGGAACTATGGATCAATTTGGGAAGGACAGACATTTTTACGATACTAACTCTTCCAATTCATGGACATGGAATATCTTCCCAATCACTTAGGTCTTCTTTAATTTTTCTGTTAACAGTTTGCAGTTTTCTCTGTAAAGATTTTGCATATCTTTTGTTAGATTTACTCCTAGGTTTGTTTTTTTTTTGCTGTTGTTGATATTTTAAATTATATTTTTTAAATTTCATTTTCTAATTGTTGCTAGAATATAGAAACACACAACTGATTTTTATATATGTACTTTGTGTCCAGGAACCTTGCTAAGTTTACTTACTACTTTTAGTAGTTTGTAGATTCTTTTGAATTTCCTATATATACAATCCTACAATCTAAAATAATGACTTCCTTTCCAAGCTTTTATTCATAGCTTCATAGCTTTTATTTTTTGCCTTACTGTACTTGCTAGGACTTAACAGTACAATGCAAAAGTGGTGATATGGTTATAAAGAAAATTCTTGGCTTGTTCCTGATCTCAGAGGGAATGCATTGAAAATTTAATCCTGAAGATGTTTTTAGATACTCTATCAGGTAAATGAGGCTCCCTTCTATGCTTGGTTTAGTAAGTTTTGAGTTTTATCGATTTTTTTCTTCCTTTATTAGATATCATATAGATTTTCCAGTTATTCTGTGTATGTGCTGAATTTCCATTGATTAATTTTTCAAACATTAAACCACCTTGGATTCCTTAGAGAAGGCCCGTCTCATGACGTACTGTCTTTTTATACGTTGCTTATCAACTTAATATTTTATTTGTGATCTTTGCATCTATGTTCACAAGAGATAGTAACCCATATATTTCCTTTCTTATAATGTTCTTGATGGGTTTGTGTATGTGTGTGTGTTAACATATACATAACATAAAATTTACCATTTTAACCATTGTTAAGTGAACAGTTCAGTGGGATTAAGTAAATTCACAATGTTATGCAACCATCATCATCGTCCATCTTCTCTTAATGGGTTTTGTATCAAGGTTATGTTGTCCTACTAAGATAAGTTGAAATTGTGCCCTCCATTTCTCCTTTTTGGAATAATTTATATAAGAATAATATTAATTTTCCTTTAATGCTTCAAAGAACTCACATGTGAAGTTACCTGGTCTTAGGTATTTTTGGAAAAGTTTTAAATTACAGATTTAGTTTCTATTATAGGCATAGGACTACTCAGTTTTTTTACTTCTAATTTCAGGTTCAGTAAGTTGCATTTTTTGAGGAGTTTATTTTTCATCTAAATTCTCTAATTTGTGGGCATAAGTTTGTTATTAAACACTCTTATTATCTCTTTAATGTCTGAAGCATCTCCAGTGATGTGCCCTTTAGCATTCCTGATATTGGTAATCAATGTTTTCTTCCTTTCACCCTCTTGGTCTCCCTCCTGCTCTTTCTCTCTTTTATTAGTCTTGCTAGAGGCTTATCAATTTTATTAACATTTTCAAAAAATTATTTTTGGCATTATTGATTTTCTCTAATGTAAAGTTATCTTCTATTTATTGATTTCTGCTCTTTTTTCTTTCTTTCCTTCTACTTTCTTGGATTCAATTTGCTCCTCTTTATGTAGCTTCTTGAGATTAAAATTAGATCACTGACTTTTCAACATTGTTTTTCCCCAAAAATATGCATTTGGAGGTATAAATTTCCCTTTAGACACTGCTTTAACTGCATCTCATGAGTTCTGATATGTCATCTTTTCAAAATAATTTCTGTAAAATTTTTCTAATTTCCATAATAATATCTTTGACTTATGAATTACTTAGAGGCATGCTGGTTAATTTTTAAATACTTTAGAATCTAGTTCCTTTTTTTTTTTTCTGTATGAATACTTTTATGTAACTGAGGGAAAATAAGCCACATATTTTGAAGACAAATCCATTGAGAAGATAACAGCAAATAAAAAAAAGATTTCTATTATCACTGACTCTTCCATTCACATTAAATCACTCATAATTGAAATTTTTATTTTATATACAAGGAATTAGCATTGTTTCTGCATAGGGTAGATGTGCTGGACGATCCATTCAAGGACGTTCACTTAGTCCAACTTGATGAAGCCGATATCCTTCACGTACTGGCGGAAACACTGGCGGCACATATTGAGGCCGTATTTCCGGATCAGACCGTGCCGGTATGAGCAGACACGGCAAGAGCGAGAACCCTGGCCGAATTTTCTAGGGTGGCTCCAGTACAGCTACCGGTGACCCATCTTGCTTCCTCGGACGCAACGAGGCAAAAGGAAAGAGGTAGCGCACGCATGCGCTCTTCAAATTTTTTCTAGTTCCTTTTTTGTTTTGATTCTTAGCTGATTCTACTGGATCAGAGATCACATTCTTTTCTAGGGGGTAGGGGTGGGGTAATTAGTTTTATTTTTTTTAATGGAGGTACTGGGGATTGAATCCAGGACCTAGTGCATACTAAGCACCCACTCTACCACTGATGCATAACTTCCCCGCCAGAGGTCACATTCCATATGAATTCAGTATTTTAAAATTTGTTGATACTTTCTCTATAGTGCAATGTATTTACCAAAATACATTATATGTTTCATGTACAGTTGAAAAGAATGTGTTTTCTACAGTAGTTGGGTATAGAGTTCTACACATATCAATTATCAAGTTGATTAATAATGTTATTTAAAATTTTCTAAATGTTTACTAATTTTTTTTGTCTGTTGACACTTACTGAAAGTTGTGTTAAACCGCTAAATGTAATTATGAGTTTGTCTATTTCTCCTTTTAATTCTGTAATTTTCTACTTTGCATATTTTGAAGCTATGTTATTAGGTGCAAAAAACTGAGGACTGTTCTATCTTGCTGTTGAATTGATTCTTTAATCATTATAAAATATCCCTCTTTATTTCTAGTAATACTTCTATCTTATCTTAAAGTTGACTTTGTCTGAAATTAATAAAGCCACACCAGCATTCTTTCGGTTAGTTTGCTCATAGTGTTTATTTTTCATTATTTTTTTCAGTATTTCTGTGTCCTTATAAAGCATGTCTTGTTTAACAGGATATAGTTGTCTTTTAAAAATTCAACCTGAAATTATTTTTTAATTGCAGTGTCTGGCCCATTCATCATCATTGTAATTACTGATATAGTAGGCTATAAACGTGCCATCTTGCTTTTTGTTTTCTCTTTGTCCCATCTGTCTTTTGTTTCTTTATCCATTCTTTCTTGACTTCTGTTAGATCAGTCAAGTATTTTATATTATTTCATTTTCTCCTCTACAATATTTTTACTTACATACTCATTTATTATTATTTTCCTTTCTCTATATTTAAAGGAGAATCTTGGAGAAGTCAATGGCTCACTCTAGAGGACAAGGTCTAAGAATGGACTTTCAGACAGCCTGGCACCTATAAAGGTTGGGGGTGCACCCATTAGTTTGACAGCCCAGCACATCCTCAGAATACATAGCATCCCACATGATAACAATAATAATAATATAATAGCTAACATATTTGCTCTTCCTATATGCCAGGCACTGCTCTAAGCATTTCATATGTATCAACTAATTTAACCATGAATATGAACATAAACATTGAAAGAGATGCCTTCTGTTCCATACTTTGTGTCTCTCAACCCCTCTCACCTCTCCAAACTCCACTTGAACCCTACTCCTCACTTCTTGGCTTCTCTGACATCCCTAGGGCAGGATCTTCCTCTGTCCAACTGCCCACACCCCACAACACACACACACACGCACACACAAAACACACAGTCTGGCTTTTTGGTGCAGTAGGCCCCAACGCCCCTGTCTGCTTCCAGCTTAGTATCTCTGCTCTGACCTGCACTGCTTGGTAACTGCTTGAAGAAGATGGGACTTCAAAGATGGCCCATAGCTGCTGCATCCTTATCCTCAGTCGCAAGTATATGCCTCCAATCCCTAAAAGTGTGCACCTCTGTATGTCCAGCCCCAATCAGCCTTGGCACAAGGATGCTCAGAAACTATTTGTTAAATGAAGTCAAGAGGAGACAATGAAGAATGAATGGATTTACGATTATATGAATACAGATACACATGTGAAGCCACTAGTGCTGAGGATTCCCCTCACCTTGGGAAAGGAGGAAGGTACTCAAGCCCTTTCTCAATCCCTAACATCCTTCCCTCTTCTTCCCCAACAAATCAGCATGCGTCGATTTTGCGGAGGGAAGGAGTAAGAGTGACAGGTCCTTTTCCATCTGTCAGGTCAAAGGTAAACCCTGCCTCCTTTGGCATCTTCACCAGTCCCCATGCAGATGCCACAGGCGCCCAAACCCCCTTCTCAGGTATCTTCTCTCTCTAGCTCACGCGTGAGCGCGAACACACACACACTCACCCCACTCCCTGAATGGGCATCACTGGGTATCATGGAGTGAGGCGGAGGTTGACAAGAGGGGGTTGCATCCTTTCTCTACCTTGCTCTCCTTCCCAGCCTCTTGATGCTCCTCCATCACTCTCCTCCTCGACTACAGCACACAAAGATTCCGCGACAGGTCACACTGCCCGCACGATCCCGCAGCTTGGTCCCCAGTAACTCGCCTCGAAGAACGGACTGGAATGGGGATCCTATCAGCTGATGGAGACACTCTCCCCTCCCTGCCAAAGAGTCACCTGGAGTCGGGCGTGGTTCCCACGCCGGGCCCTCGCAGCGTCGCCTTTTGATTGGATACCAGATTTATGGTGCGGGACACCATTGGCTGTAAGGTCTGTCGTTCGTGTGCCCAGGCCCCACATTTTAAGGGGAAGCACGGAACTAAAAGGGCCAGGAATGGGCTATGGCGTAGGGGCTGGATTCGTGGGGGCTCTAAGGTCGCAGACGTCTCGTGTGCCGTCAGCCCCCGCCCCAGGCTGGCGGAATCCCTCCAGCCGCCGCTCTGGGCCGCACCTTCCAACGGCCTCGCGCGGTCTGCGCGTGCGCACTAGCCCAGTCTCGCGCCCTCCAGGCGGTGGGCGGGGCGATGGGCCAGCGGTCAGGGTGGGAGGGTCGGGTGGGGTGGGAATGGGGAGCCGGGGTAGGGGTGGCGGACTAGGGACGAGGGCAGGAGCTGTCTGTGGACAAGTGGGTTCCGTTTGGATTTCCCTACTGGGACATGATGGAGTGGCGGGGTAAGCCACACAGGGCAGCGAGGGGGCGCGACAAGACCCACGGCCAGGGCGCCCTCAGCCAGGCTGGGGTCCGCGGGCGGTCGCAACTGGAGCCAGGAAGTAGAGGGGCGCAGATTATGCGAGAAAAACTGTGGATGCCTTGGAACGGGCTCATTGTGATTGGGAAGAGAATGGAGCTCCTGGTTAGAAATACGCAAAAGCCAAGGATGTGGGACCCGAAGCCTGAGTCTGAGTACTGGAGACTGGAAGATGTGGGAAAGACAGTCTTGAGAGATACGTTAGGTCGGAGTCACGAGAGGATGGATATGAAACGAGTGCACACTGTAGCAAGTGCATTACAGGCTTCAGCAGGTTTGGGGAAAGACAGCTCAAAGGAGGTGGGGGGAAAGCAAGACGTCAGACACAAAACAGGGGCTGAATCTGAGAATGCAGGGTCTAGGCGAGGGTCTGGGTTTAAAGACAGGTTGAAGTTCACTGGAGTGGAAACCAGTGGAGAGGACTTGAGATCCCGAGGATATAAGCTAGGGCACAATGAAGAGAAGCTGAGGT